TTGAAGTGGGAGATACTGGGCTTCCTTTCTGACCATTTACATTTGTGTACGTAAAACTTACCTAATAATATTAGAAGATTTAGCATAAAAATGTGACTCTTATCCATATCTTTTTTATCAAAATAAAATATAACATCTCTTTTTCTTATATTAATTTTAGATCCACTCAACATAGTAAATAAATATTCAACATCAATCCAGAAAAATTGAACATACACATTCAAAAAAAAAGATGCAAAACAGTCTCTACATGCATTCCACAAAAAAACACAAAATTCAGAGAGATCAGCTCTGTATCTCTTGAGAAACTGGTTGGTTGGATAAATATGTATAATTTTAAAGTAAACTTCACTAACTTTATTTGTGACACAGAATTTGTTATTATAAGCCCAAATCAATTTCCAGTTGATATTCTCAAAATGGTTATTCCAGAAGTACTTACATCGAAATGTTGCAGGGCAGTGAATCAAACATCTAAAAAATGTATTATTACATTTTCTATCTTTGATATCAATACCGTTTAATAAGATCTCTTTTTTAAATGTTGATTGCTTAGATTCACTAAATCCCTTTAAAAGCCTCACAAATCCTGCTGGTATTGCATCAATTACAATACTATATTCACGCGGAGGTATTGGAATACCAAATTTCTCAAAAAATTCAGTATATGTAAGTAAATATCCTTCATTATTTATCAACTCTGAGACCATTAGAATACCATTTTTAACCCAATTAGTATAGAAAATTGATTTGTTCTTATATTTAACATATTTATTATTCCAAATTATCTGCCTATGGGGAGAGAAATTATGTTTGTATATAAGAATCCAATATAAAAGAGCCTGTCTATGAAAATTAGATAACTTAATGGGGAGTTTGTTGACCTCAAAATCACACTTCAAAAGAAACTCTATGCCTCCAACTTTTTCAAAAATAAGATTTGGAATTATATACCATATCTCATCTTTACGTTTAATATAATGTTTAATCCAGTTAAACTTGAAAATTGTATTAGACGTAACAAAATCAAGCACATTCAAACCTCCTTGATTATACGAATTACATAAATTAATTTTATTTCAATAGTGAGGCTTGTCTTTCCATATGAAATTAAATAGAGTTGAATCAATTTTTTAAAGAAAATATTTAGGTACATCTAACACTTTAACAGGATAGACTAAACGAGATAACCCCTCGGTTTTGGACAAAAGAATCCTACCTTTGAGTGATAAATCCCTCATGAGCCAATTTAATTTCTCTGTCTGCAAATATTGATACCAAGATAAGTTACTTCCTCTCTAATTGGAATACCTTCAAATTGGGTAAAAGGAATACCATTATCTTTAAGTGGAAAAAGGGTACATTTTTTCATGTTTAAAAATAAACTTGACACTTCAGAAAATATATTAAGGCACTCTATAGTTTTCTTAACTTGTGATATATCTTTCAAAAAGATAGCTGTATCATCAGCAAGCTGACAGCATTTAATTTCTCTGTCCCTAATTCTGATGCCTTGAAAAGAATCATTATGCAAATGTAAAGCCATCGTTTGCATAACAAAAAGAAATAAAAAGGGAGCCGCCGGGTCTCCCTGTTTTATGTCTCGAGAAATACTAAATCGATGAGAGTTGTTCCCCATGGGAGTTTAACTGAACTATTACAGTCATTGTATAAAGTTTCTATCGCCCTTTTAAAGTACTGACCAAAACCAAAAAAATCTAGTAAATCAAATAAAAAAATATGTTTTACAGTTTCAAAGGCTTTATATATATTTATAAATAAAATGTAACTGTTATCAGTTATGTAATCCTTATTATTACTAGCACTTTCCCTCTCAAAGTAAGGTCTCGATCCTCCCACTGCTTTACTTTCCATTTAATTTTATCGAGTCTCTGATCCCAATTCATTTTCTCCATATTGTTACCAATCGAAAGCCCTAAAATCTTAATGAATTCTACCTGATCTTTAAAGCCTAATTTTAATTTAGGTTCTTTCCAAAAGGAATACAGAATTTCGGTCTTTTTTCTATTAATTTTCGCACCGGTAGCTAGAGTAAACTTTTCACAGATTTGCAAAGTTTTCTTAATAGAATTATTATCAATAAGAAAGAGGGTAAGATCATCCATATAAAGTGAGACCTTAGCCTCTCTACCTAAACTACCCGGAATCGGAAACCCTTTCATTTCTGGGTTTTGCCTAAGCGCGCAAGCTAATGGCTCCACCGCTAAAATAAATAGCAATGGGGACAAGCTACAACCTTGTCGTACGCCCGAGCGAATCTCAAAAGAGTCTGACAAATAGTTATTTACCAATACTTTACTTTGGCAATCTGTATAAAGGAGCTTAATCCATGAGTATATAGAGGGGCCAAAGCCTAAACGCTCACATAATCTATATAAATAGCAATGATCTATACTGTCAAAGGCATTTTCGAGATCTAGTCCTAAAATTATGGCTTTACGATTGAGATTATATCGCCACCTGTTGGTTTGGCATGCTCTTGACAGTGCTTCATAGCATGCGTTTGCGTTTTCGTGTGGACGGAGATTTTTTTTTAAAACGGAAGAAGGAAAAACTCTGTTTATAAAAATACCTGTGTGGACATGGCCTGAAGCGTTTAGTGCAATGCTGACAATGCAAGCTAACTAGTTTAGTAAACAACAGTTTAATTTTTAACAGTTGTTTAAAGTGAATTAACAGTGAAAACAGCAAATAATTTAGTATTCACTAATTTTGTATTTCCCTATAGAATTTTAACACATACAGGAACATCAAGGTCAAAGATGAGCACCAGACCTAGTACACTGCTGGTGGTTATAGTGTGTATCAAGCCTATAACTGTGGTGAGTGTTGCTTAGCTTTGCAACCAATTTGATCTTTATCTAGTGACATCGACTTTATGGAGATTGACTTTACACTCAATTATATGATTATTTCCTTAGTAGACAGAAGAAAACACCCAAGCTCTACACATACGAGATGACCTCAAATGCTTACTTGACATTTCTGGGCCATTTCGATCTCAACATGAATAACCAATGGTGTAGAAAGTGTTCGAAATTAGTGTTTTAGGCTGCTTTTTCCATGTGAGAAATGTAGGAATAAGTTTAGTCCATTGTTGAGACTTATGTAACTATGATGAGAACATTGAGAATATCCGCATGGACACATTAACTCTTTTGGAAGCAATCATAGACCTCAGGGTCAAACATTGACACATCAGATGTCAACTAGTGTAGATTTGCTTAATTACCCAGAAAACTTTGTTAATTAGGAAAAACACTGAGGAAATGGGGCCTGGGAGCAAATTCACCATCAGATATGCATGAGAGGTATACATTTCTGCATGTACTTATGAATGTTAGTTATGAGACAACATAAACATGGTTTTCTTAACTTTTATAAAGAATATCTCTTTGGATTTGAGACTTTAGTCTTTGCAACTTTACAGATCTTCTTTATGCACCAAGAGCTTGTAACACTCCAAAGAGAAAGGAAAAATTTAAATCGCATCATATGACCCCTTTAAATACGGGACAAACTGCGTTCCGTATAGCTTTCATACGGAACGCTTCTTTGATGCCTTATACGGGACGATTCCGTATTATACGGAACGGTTGGCAACCCTAGACAACACTGCAACCGGAGTTTTTGAAAATCTTCACCCTGGTAGGCGTTTTCAAAAATGTTCGGTTTCAGTGAACTGGTGCTGCGTTTGCGTGTGGATGAACTGCCAAACCGCGTAGAAAAAGCAGCGATTTTAAAAATAACCGCGTTCGTGTGGACAGGGCCTCAGACTGTCAGTCAACAAGAGCAGACAAAACCTAGTGACAGGCAAGATGTGGCAGAACTGGGTCAGCCTGTTGTGACACAAGACTGACAGATTTAAAATTAAACACTAAACGTGTTGCTAAACATGTGAGATCACATACATGGAACGTGAAGAGCTGAACAACTTAGAGATTCAAATAAATAGTGCAGTTTGAGAAGAACCAAAGAAAGTAAAGCATAAAAGACAAAAGGTTAGAAATATAAAATGAATGAACATTAAAGAGGTTATTCCGTTTTGTATTTACCAGGAGGATAAAATACCCCAGGATCTTCATGAGTGAAAAAAAAAAATCAGTGTCCTTTCCTTTTCATGGTGTGCATCTTGAGACAAAACAAGGGCACTGACATATTTTAAGACCAATCAGTGCAAGTTTATTTCAGTTGAAACAGCTAAGACTTACATTTTAGTCTGGGACCAAGCTTATTAAGTCTTCTATGTGAAACCAGGGGAAAGAGTTTCATTTCATCACAAAACTCAGTATGCTTGTTACTCTTTGAATAGGTTAAATCCAGGCTGACTAGTTATGCTTGGCTTAGTTCAGTTCACATTTTACAAGAAAAGCATAGCGTTTTTAGGATTTTGACACACCGTAAAAACAGTGCTGAATGAACGGTTCGTCACTTTTAAACTGACCTGTTCTCAAAGCAAAGCAACTACTTGTGCACACAGATGTTACCTAAAACAATAATTGAAAACAAAAGAAAAAACAAGGCAGATCTTAAATTCTTTTCTTTATGTTACACAGTGATAACACCATTGAAAATACAATTTATAAATATATTAAACTCTGGCTTATTATCGGCAGTATCATCTGCGAATCCAATCAGCTCTTCTTTACCAACAAACTAAAATTGTGGCTGTCAGTTCTTTTCAAAATATTGCAGCATCAACAACTAACCTAAAGGTCTGAGATGTTAATATAATTCTTAAACTACTCTTAATCAGATTGTATTTACAAGTAAAAGAGTAGGCAACTTTATTAGGGTCATTTTGTGGCTGCAAATAATTGTTCTTCACTCATATAATCAAGACTGGATCTCCACATTCACACTGAACAATTCAATCAGACAGGCACGGCGCCAGAATTTTTTCTCTACCGGTGCTAAGGGGGGGCTAGACCAATATGTGGGGGTGCTAAGAAAATAAATGATATTGATGACATCAGAGTTACTTCATAAAGAAATGGGGCTAAACCGGGGCTATTAAAAATTCTGACGGGGCTATAGCCCCCCCTAGCCCCGGTGTAGCGCCGTCACTGTAATCAGACTGAACAATGTAAAATCAACTAATTATTATTGTAGCTTGCAGTTGGTGGGTTTGCTGGGAAAGGATGAAAAGAGATCGTCCTTAGGTTTGTGTCCAGAGCTTCTTCAGCCTCTGAAGAACTTAGAAAACACTGAGAAATCATCCTGCATGTCAGTAGAGGGGTTCAACCCACCTGAAAGATGCAGAAAATATATTTCTGAATGATTATTCAGGAAAAGCTAGAGCAAAGCACTGCAGAAGCTTGAGGAATATTTGGGAAAATATACAGTGATATTTTAAAATGTAAAATCTAAATGAGGATGTTTTTTTAAATGCTCTAAAATGTCTATTTTAAATATTCTCTTTGTCTTTTACCTTTAGGACCATACATTACATAGGACAGGACACTGTTAAAAAGTTGTCTAGAAACCACTAACCTGGCATGAGAGGACCAGACTGATCTTGCGGCGCATCTCGGCCACTTGGACCAGAGATGGTCACTGTAGTCTCTTCATTACCTTCACCATCTCTGACTGTTCGCCTTTCTTCTACAGTCTACACACACATACATTCAATCTGTATTATTGTAATTAAAATCAGGTATTTACCAGGCTTGTTAGACAACATCTGAATGCAAGATGTGTGGTATATTGAGCCTTGCTCTACAATATTACTATATTTTTGATCAGAATAACTTGAGAACAAAATGACACAGGATCACTCACTCCATCTGGTCGGACCACCTTGGTAACGCTGACAGACTTAAAAGTTGACCTTATCTTAGGCTGTGAAGGCGCCGGAGTCAAGATCTGATCCAGACCACCTGAAGACACCTGTGAGTCCAGATCTGAGTGGAACCAGATGACAAAAGGCCTGGATGAATTATACACATTGTATCAACTGAATATCAGGCAAGAAATTCATGTATTCGCTGAATTGTCAGCACAAAAATCATAGACCAAATGAAAAATAACCCACGCATTTCTTTGCATTTTCTTTTTTTTAACTCCTTCACATGAAGTCTGAAATTTCATACTGCAGTGATCCGTCATTCTTTTATTTGGAGTTGATTTTCAAGTGTCTGGATATCTAACGATTCATTAAAATATCCAAACTTCTTTAAGAATTACAAAAATGTTACAAAAAACATTTTACCAAAAATGTTATTTGAGAACTGTTAACAGTCTGTACTAGGGGTGGAACGGTACACAGATGTCACGGTTCGGTATATACCTCGGTTCGATACGATTTCAGTACAACAAGGAACAAAATCTACTATGCTCTGTTTCTATTTATTTTGAACAGACAGTAGTACAAATTACAATTTTTTCCACCTAGATGTGAAAATACTAAATATTATTACATTATGCTATATATATATATATATATATATACACAGTGGGTACGGAAAGTATTCAGACCCCCTTAAATTTTTCACTCTTTGTTATATTGCAGCCATTTGCTAAAATCATTTAAGTTAATTTTTTTTCCTCATTAATGTACACACAGCACCCCATATTGACAGAAAAACACAGAATTGTTGACATTTTTGCAGATTTATTAAAAAAAAAAAACTGAAATATCACATGGTCCTAAATATTCAGACCCTTTGCTCAGTATTTAGTAGAAGCACCCTTTTGATCCAATACAGCCATGAGTCTTTTTGGGAAAGATACAACAAGTTTTTCACACCTCACACACACACACACACACAAAACACATCAGTTCCAGCATTGCTAACTTGACAGGTTGGTTGGTACTTTATCAAAATAAAATACAGTGAACCAAACATCAGTGCGCCCGCCTCTGTGTCACCGTTGGAACACGACTGAAATACAAAGCCTATTCAGCCTACTCAGGATTCAGATACGTTACACCGCAAATATGGAAATATTATGGAATATTTGGATTTGTGCCAAATGAGAGAGGTAGGATACACAAGCACAAAGCTCCATTTCGCAAACAGTTGAGTGCACAAGCCTTTAAAGTATACTCCTTTGTCAGTCTGTGAGATGCATTCAGAGTCAGCACATGGTCGCAGTCTAGTGCGCTTTGTTTTCAAGTGCGCAACTCACGGCATTCGCTGTTCTTCTG